CACCCAGGCTTTTTGCACCACCCTTGGGGGACCAGCTCAGGCTGCTTTCGCCCTGCTCTGCTCCAGCCCCTCTGCTCTGCCAGCCCTGGAAGGGGACCTTGGGACAGCGACTTTGTGCCGCGCCGTCCCTTACAGGGAAGCCCCCAGCAGTTGCCCTCAAGCCCTTGCTCCCCTGGTGCTGGATTCAGGACACACTCACTGCACAACTGCAGACACAGGTCCCTGATAACAGTCATATTCTCTTCAGGTAGCTGAGCCAGACCTGCTGAAAGCCTGTGCTGGGGCTGACGTCCTCCTGTTTGTGGTGCCCCATCAGTTTATCGGCAAAGTCTGTGACCAGCTCAAGGGACACGTGAAGAAAGATGCCGTTGGGGTGTCGCTCATCAAGGTGTGAGCCCCGGCAGCTCACTGGGGCACTGGGACAGGAGGACTTAGCTGGAAGGAGCCTGGCTTGGAGGGGCTGCAAAGGGAATCCTGGGGTTTGGAGCAGAAACTGGGCTCCAGGGTTATGGGGGGACATCATAGTGACAGTGGGAAGTGAGGGCAGACTCTTGGTGGGGATTTGGAGGCATACTGGTGGAGAAGGGTGAAGGCTTGTGGGGGATCTCCAGCACTGTGAGGAGTGGGGTGCGGCTGAGCACTGCGGGGGGCTGTTGGGATGAGAGTCGGGGCATTGCAGCACAGGGAATGGCGGGATTGGGGCAGGTGGGGCCAGCTCTGCGGGGGGGGCAGGAAGTCATCTCTGTCCCTGGTTGTCTCCCAGGGGGTGGACGAAGGACCAGATGGGCTGAGGCTGATCTCAGACATCATCCATGAGAAACTGGGAATAGAGATGAGTGTCCTCATGGGGGCCAACATTGCTAATGAAGTGGCAGAAGAGAAGTTCTGCGAAACAACCATTGGTAAGGAGCCAACATCCCTCCTCATTAGCAGCCTTCGTTTCTGATGAGCAGGAAGAGGCAAAGGGGTGAGCGTGGTGCAGCTTAAACTACTGCTGCGTAGGGTGAGCCAGCCCTTTTGAACTCATTCACAGGGTTTACGATGTGATTGCTCGCTTCATTAAAACCAGAGTTGTGTGTCTAAAAGTTCCTGCCGACACAGACTCTGAGCATCAGGCAGTCTGCCTGGCACAAATTAAAGGGGTGGACACCAAAAGGCCCTTTAGAAATAGAGTTCCTACCTTCATTTCCTTGAGCTTCAAGGGACGCTCACCTGGATCTCATGTCGTTGCCAGCCAGGGCTGCTTGAAAGTTCATTTGGTGACTGTTCCTAACATCCTCCTCACTTGTTTGTGAATCACGCACAGCAGCCAAAACCAACAGAACAGTTTGCTGGGTTAGAAGTTACAGGATTCAAAGTGTCTGTATTTTAAACAAAAGCAAACATGCTGTGCAGGAGGCTGCAGAGACTGGAGAGGTACGAGCGGAGCATGCTATCACTGCGAGCGCACAGAAACACTCTCGCGCAGGACACTGCAGGAAGAGGGAGAACAGCGGTCTCCAAACCCAAATTTGCAACCTTTGAAGATGCCTTTAATCTACTGGGCATGTCATTCCTGTCTTGCTTGACACAGCAGTAGGGATTGTCCCCGTCTTCTGGGAATTCCAAGGTTGAACCTTGCTTATCTGCCAGGCAGTGTGTGCGTGGCACTTTGTGGACCTGCAAATGTTTAGCAATGTCCATCAGTGGGGCAATAGGTTCCTCTCGCTGCAAGGGCTGTGCTGCAGGAACGTACCGCTGGGCAGGAGAGCAGCACGGTCCTACCTTAGGCTCCCCCCCCATGGCCTTCTTCCTTCTCCCTTTGTCTCATCAGGTTGCAAGAACATGCAGCATGGACAGACGCTGAAGGAGCTGATGCAGACACCGAACTTCCGGGTGACGGTGGTGCAGGAAGCTGACACCGTAGAGATCTGCGGGGCTCTCAAGGTGGGTGAGCCACTCACCAGGGCTTGCGGGTCTTGGTTAGCAGAGCCTGTGGTTCTCTAGGGAGCTCTGGGGAGGAGGAGGCTGACGGTTGAATGAACCCCACTGGATATTGCACTGTGGCTCGCTGAGACCTTTGGATCAAAGGCCAGGCTTTGGAGGGAACTGTGGTTGGGTCCTGTTCAGCTGCTTGGAGGGATGATCACCGGCACAAGGCAGGGGCAGGCAGGAGCCTGTGCTTGGGATTACACAGGCAGCTCATGGACACAGCAAAGCCCTAAGCTCCATTGGGAACAGATGCCTCCATGCTGCCGTTGTTTTCCAGAACGTTGTGGCTGTAGGAGCTGGTTTCTGCGATGGGCTTGGCTATGGAGACAACACAAAGGCTGCTGTGATCCGTCTGGGACTGATGGAGATGATTGGCTTCGCCAAACTCTTCTGTAAGGGCCCTGTCACCTCCTCTACCTTCCTGGAGAGCTGCGGGGTCGCTGACCTCATCACTACCTGCTACGGTGGCCGCAACCGCAAGGTGGCTGAGGCTTTTGCCAAAACTGGGAAGGTAAGCAGAGCAGGAGCAGGCAACATTGATATCTGCATCAACCTGCTGACCTGGCAGCGGGACGGACCCAGTTAGAACCATGGCAACCTGCCTTCACTCACCAAGTGCCACAGCCTGGCTCCAGGGAAGGAACGTGGGGCAGCGGATGGGGTTGCAGGGCCCAGCTCCCTCACTGTTGGGTTGTTTCAGTCTATTGAGCAGCTGGAGAAGGAGATGTTGAATGGGCAGAAGCTGCAGGGTCCCCAGACGTCTGCTGAGCTGCATCGCATCCTTAAAAGCAAGAACGCGGTGGAGAAGTGAGTGCTGTCATCTCCCCTGCCTGCTCTTTTGGGGTAGGGCTGGGATCTTTCCTGCAGCTGTGGGAGGGGAAACCCACCCGTAGTGTCTCTGCTTCAGGTCAATCTCTGCACTGCCCACATCAAACCAGCTGGGCAGGAATGGCCTGTTGGATGAGGCACCGTGCCACTGTCCCTGCTGCTGCCCAGTGGTGCTGCATGTCGCAACAGAAGCTGAGGTGCTCTGACTCTGCCAGCTGTGGTGACAGGGCAAGGGGTGACTTTCTTCATCTGCCCACAGGTTCCCCCTCTTCACAGCTGTCTATCAGATCTGCTATGAGGGCAAACCTGTTGCCGATGTCATCAAGTGTCTCCAGAACCACCCTGAGCACATGTAAGTGGGCTCTGCCTGCAAAATCACTGATCCTGACGAGATGAGCGGAGAGCTCCTGCCCGCACCAACTTGCCCTGCTGCTACAGCTTTGTAAGGAGGCCAGATTTCCTGGGAGCCTTTGCAGAGTGTGGGAAGGGCAGAGGTTCCCTTTCTCAGCCCTGGACACTGCCAGCCTGAGCCTGGCACCTGCACAGAGGTACCTGCTGATCTCCCTCTCTCTTTGAAGGGCTCGTTTAGCTTCTGCTGCTGTCTAGGGTCTGCCCTGAGTGGGGCTGAGCGTCTTCCTCCTTTCACTTTCTCATGCTGTGATGGATTCAGTTCTCGGGGGGACTCTGCCAGGTCACCTTGGTCGATATGGGCTGCGCAGGAGGCACTGCCTGGGAGGACAAGCTTTGCTATTAGCCCCGTGGGGCTACTTTGCATGATACCAGCTCTTTCCTGCTTGCTGCTGTTGCTTTTGGCTTAACTGTCTTGTGGAGAGGGCACAGTTCCCTGCCAGGCTCCACCAGGGCGAGTGAAGCTCCTAAGGACTGTCAAAGGGGTTGAGAATCGCTCTTCTTTCTAAGATGCACCAGCACAGAAAATAGCATTCTTTGTCACCCTGCCACGTGCCACCACCAGCTGCTCCTGCCGAACGGTACAGCCAAAGCTTTATGTGTGAGGGCAGCCCCAGAGTGAGACTTTAGAGCTTTTTCACTGAGATTTTTTTCGCTCTCGCAATCAAACCAGGCCCCTGCACCCGGCAAACTCTCCTGCTGTCACAGATTTGCCTGTGCTAATTCCATGCCCAATGACTGTCCCCGGCCAGCCTTTCTCCCTCGTATCGGTTTGTCCTCTGGCTGGCTTTGGCAATGCAGGGACCAACTGCCCCAAAGTCTTTCTGAGCAGCTGGCAGGCCGTGTAGCCCTTGGCAGTGTACCTGACAAAGCAGCTGGGTCATGTTGCTTTTAGATGAATGATCCACAGCAGCTTTTTGCCTTCTCTCTGGCTTGCTCCAGTCTGTGCCTTAGCCTGGTCTTTGCTTCTACATGGCTTTATAGGAGCTAAGAAAGCAGGTTCCATGGTTTCCCTGCTGCCCCTCCTGCGAGGCTGCTGGAAACTGCCCGCTAGCACAAGGGGCAGCAATGGACATGTGATCCACAAGAGGTACAAGGAGACCTCCAACATCACAGGAGAGGACAGAGTTCTCATGCCTTGTGCTGTGCCTTTGAAACTTGCCCCTTGTCCGGCTGGGTGCCACGTGCCTCTCTCGTCCTCTGAAGCTGGCTCACTCTGCTCATGTTTGCTCAGGCCAGCGTGTCCAGCGGTTCACTGATCCCTGTCTGGGCTGGCAGGCCAGAGCTGGTGCAGGTCTCGCTGTCCACCCCCGTTCCAGGTCCTAGTGCTGCTGGGTCGCTGACTAGCAGTGTACTTTACGAACATTTAAAATAATAATAAACTTGGAGAGGAGAGGGAAGACATGCTCTGTGGCTCTGGTGCATCGTTGTCTTTGGGTTGGTGCCTGCTGGACTTGCTAGGAGTGCAGAACAGGGCACTGTCAGTTCCCTCCTGGCTCTGCACCCTTGTGTGCTGTCCCAGAAACAGCAAGAATGCCCCTGCAGGTCACTGTTCAGTCACAACGTAACATGGTGTCTCACTTGCTTTTTCTCAGCAGCAGTTCCAGTGATAAAATTTGGCTGTAGGACCAAAGAGGGTTGAGATTGCAATGTCAAACTGGGTACAGAATTCTAACTCTTCTACCTGGGGCCTGCAGGAGCCGGGCCAGGACTCCGCTGTGCCCCATGTACCCCAGGCCTCCCTTTCTCTGATGTTTTGGCTTCTTGGGACACGCTGTGTTGTTTTATTCATCTCTTCCCAACTGCTTTTCCCAGACTTGCCTTGTCCCCGTCTTTGAAATGCATCTCGTACTGAGTGACCTTTCCAGGACTGTTAGCCCTCCGCTCAGCCTCTTGCTAGGGAATTTAATCTGCTGGCACCGCAGTTGTTTCTGTACCTTTTATTAGACACGCTTTCTCACTAGGCACCCTACGACCTTTAAATTCAACTGAGCTATCGTGAGGAAAGTAGCCAGCATCGGCTTCCTCTAATGTGGAACTTTATTGAGGTTGGAGGGAGGATAAAGGAAGTCCACTGTGTTCCTGTGGGGCTGGCACAACTTCTAGTTCCTTTGGTCTTGAAGTGCTTCAGGAATCCCAGCTCAAGTGTTTGGCCATGAGGCTCATAGAGAAGAGAGGGTCTCTGAGCTCTCTTCCCTCAACACGTGGCGGTCTCTCATCTTGGCTGGCTAAACTCTTGCCAGCACCTGCCTGAAGCTGCAGCAGGATCTGGAATAGCATTTTGGACTTGCATTCAGCTGTTAGCTCCTGGGCTGTGGAAGTGCTTTGTGCATCCCTCCTCGTGCAGGTTTTTGTGACATTATGTGCTGCTGGCAGGGCCGAGCCCCTGCAGGCCCTCCCAGCATTTGCTGAAGGTCCCAAGTCTCACCTGGGGCTGGCCGGTGCACAAGTCTCTTGCTTTTACATGCCCCATGCCTTGCACTGGTGCTGGAGTTCACGAGCTATAAAAAGTCTTCCCTTTGCCATTTGGAGTTATGTTCTGCAGCCTCAGCACATCCAGGCACTGCAGGACTCTGCAGCCTATTAAAATGCTAGCAAGGAGCTCATGGCCCAGGAGGAGAGCACCGCTCAGTGCCAACCGCTGCCCTAGTGCTTTTGGAGGAGCACGGCCTCTTAAAGTCTTCCTGAAGGAGCCTCGTTGGCTGGGAGCATAGGCTGGGCCCTCAGCGAGGATGGCGAGGCCTCCGAGCACCTCAGCGGGACTTGCCGCGGCCTTTGCTCCATCCCATGTATGGCTGAGGACAGGCCCCTCAGGGCTGGCGCCTCC